CTTATCCTTCTCGCTTTCAGCTTAGAGCTTTTCTTTTCATACGCTCACCTCCTATATTTTGACCAGATTCGATTTCTTTTCAAGTTCACAAAAGATTTGTCAGTATTATAAGATACACAATAAGAATTCACTCTCTTTTTTCAGTTAGTAATCCGATTGGGTGCTAAATTGTGAGGAAGCAAATACAATATCTGAAAATGGTACAACTTATATACACTATGACACAATGAAAAGGGACCCAGAAGGGATAGTGTGATTCCTGTGGCACTCCAACTTTGCTTTGATGGCAAACCAGATGTGGCCTTCAAGCAACTAGCTTGAAGAGATAGACCAAAATTGTCTGTTCCTTCATGGCTAAGCTTTTAAAATTGCTGTTCTGTATTGCTTGACCAGTGTAGTTTATCTCATCATGCTTTTTCAGTTTTCAATAAACCACACTGCTGTAAATGCTGTTGCTTTTACTAAATGTGACAAGAGAATAGGCCTTGAAGATTTGTACTCTCCTGTTTCAGAAAAGTTTTTGTTTGAGTTACATGCAAAGATTTTGAGAGGACCTTTTGTTTTGACATTAGTAAGATGTAGCATAACATCTTAGCTGATTGGAATCTCAAAAACATAATTGGTCTTCCTCCAACATCCTGTTCATGCATTGAGCATCAGATTTTTGGATTTGCAAAATCTGGTGAAGAAGCTATTTAGTTGTTTGTGAAAGGCAAATTGTTAGTTATGGTCAGTTGTCCTTTTTGGCTTGGTTGAAAATAGTTTAGGTGACTGGTCTATATACATCGGTATCTATATACATCTTGTGTAGAACATTAACTTTATTCTTTCTCTTTGTCTGGCCCATAGGCTTTGTAATTATCAGAGATCGAACCCGAAACATGTGAACTGACATGCAAAATAATACTGTAGGCATGGGGCTTAATTCGCATTATATCCTTGGTATAACTAATAGGAGTCATTTGAAAGACTACTTTTGCTGGAAAAGTAGTACATCAATTGAGTTTGATTGCTCTTTTTTTTTTGGGTTAGAATCATCTGCATTCTTAGATTTGTCAGATCTTTTAGCCAGCTCATATGTCTACTGCAAATGATTCTTCAATTTTACATGTTCTCTTAAATTTATTCATGTACCTGACTAGGAGATTGTGTAACTGCAGCTTGCACATAGTGCGGTGTGAAAATACATCAATTCATGATGTATCAATATACGGTGATTTTAATACACCAAACAATGATGGGATGGATATAGAGGATTCAAATAACACCGTTATTACAAGATGCCACATTGATACTGGTGATGATGCCATCTGCCCAAAGACATACACAGGGCCCTTATATAACTTGACAGCCACAGACTGTTGGATTCGGACAAAATCTTCGGCAATCAAACTTGGTAGTGCTAGTTGGTTTGATTTCAAAAATCTGGTCTTTGATAATATCACCATTGTAGATTCTCACAGAGGGTTGGGATTTCAGATCCGTGATGGAGGTAACATGATCTGTCTTCCCCCTCATATTGGAATATATCCCTTGCTAATTCAGCTTTATGTTCATTGAGAAAGAAATTATTTTGAAACTCTGAGAACTACCTGTGTTATCTTTGATTAATAAAAGCATTTGATGCACCACTATTTCAGAAAGCATGTACGAAATGATGCTAAAATTGAGATATTTCTACATTGTTTTCCACTGTTGTCCAAAAGGAAATCTGAGAGAAAATAGGATCAACCTGTTTGTGAATGTAAAGAAAATTGTTACAAGTCTAGCCTGTAGCTAAATTTGAAGCTAGTTGAAGGAGCGAGAATTTTGAGAAGCCTTATTTAGGTCTAGGCAGAACCTGGTTTATAAATTGTAGCTTTGTTTTTATTTTTGTATTTAGGACACCAAACAAACAACTGAATTTTACAAAAGAAGTGTAAAATTTATTTATAAATTCACATTGTTTACCTATAGAATGTAAATAAAATGTAAATTTATGAATGAATTTTGTATGTTTTTACTGGAGTTCATGAATTCCCGAAATATCTGTTAATGAAAGACAGTTAATGCCCAGAAGGGTTTGAATTCCAGCCCGCTTACCATATACTATAGCCTATATACATTTGTTGAAATTCAGCATGTAATTACCATTTTTCTCATGTTTTCGTCTTGAGATTGGACATTTAGACTTTATGAACTTAGGTCTTCATATATAAGATGAGCCTCTTTTTATGGCTCTTTTTATCTGTTCAAAACTGTTTTAGCTTTCATTTCTTAAATTCATAGACTATATACCCCAACACAACTACAGTTGTTGAAAATGAAAGATTGATTTGAAAAATGATGATGAAAATATGACTTGATTTTGAAAATAATTTTTTATTTCTTTTCGAACTTGAGTCATATTTTCCTTGCTATTTTCGAATTTTGTTTTCATCTTTAACGACTCTTGGTGGTAAAGTATATATAAAGCATATATTAATTTGGAAGATGAAGATTCAAAATCAATATGAGACAACCAAACGAGGCCTCTGCTTTTCAATTTTCTTTTGCCATGTACTAACTAATTGTTTCCATGTACAGGAAATGCTGGTGACATTACCTTCTCAAACATAAATATCACTACTAGATACTACGATCCCTCATGGTGGGGACGAGCAGAGCCTATTTACGTGACAACCTGCTCGCGGAACTCATGTTTCAAGGCGGGTTCCATTTCGAATGTTCTCTTCATAAACATAACTGCAACTTCTGAAAATGGAATATTTTTATCAGGCTCTGAAGATGGGAAATTAAGTGATATTAGATTCATTAACATGAATCTTACGTACAGAAGATGGACAAAGTATGCTGGAGGATTGGTTGATTATAGACCAGGGTGTGAGGGACTTGTGAAGCATAACACAGCTGGAATTATCATGGAACATGTTGAAGGTTTTGAGGTTGAAAACGTGAACATGAGATGGTTTGATGCCAAAACAGGGCTGTGGAATAACCCTCTGGATTTTAGGCCTTCCACTGTGAATAATATTTCTTTCTTCAATTTTCACTCAGGTTTGTACAGACAGGTAGACCAAGAACCCAAGAGGAATCATTCTTAGTACTTGGAATTTTTTCCAATTATGAAACAATTGTATTTTCTGTTTGGTGCATAGCACACGTAAGTCATTGCAGTGTTAAATTATGTTACAGTACAATTTCAAGAACAATGTATTATTGTATTTTGTTCAGTACAAAAAAAGATTTGACAAGTAATGAGTTAAATTATACTTTATTACACGAAGAAAGATGGATTAAACTAAGAAATCAATGTATTAACGAAGACCCTTCTGGTTCAGCCTTTAGGAAAATAAACTCTATATATAAATATATCTGTATTACACACCCATGGAAGGAGAGAGATATATCTGAAATATATATTTTGTTGGAGAAATGTACAAACAGAGATGAAGACCGGCCTTAAGGTACAGACTAAATGCTTCCCATAGTCGCTGAACAATCATTTCTTAATCATGAAACTTCTTAGAAAAATCCACGGTTCCATTCATCATCCCAATCAAGTGAAACCCATTTCTTCAACTTCCCACATCGTCACTCAAAAACCAACCTTTCCATTTTTCCCGCCGACCACACCATGTTTGAAAACGCTCTGCACCAGCGGTCAACTGCAAGAAGCCTTGCTAGAAATGGCGATTCAAGGACTTGAAATGAAGTTTGATGGCTACGATTCACTGCTAAACGCGTGTATTAATCAAAGGGCCGTGAGAGAAGGCCAAAGGGTCCATGTCCACATGATCAAGACCCATTATCTGCCTCCAGTCTATCTTAGAACCAGATTGATTGTGTTTTATAATAAATGCGACTGTTTGCTCGATGCAAGGAAAGTGCTCGATGAAATGCCTGACAGGAATGTGGTTTCTTGGACTGCCATGATTTCAGCTTATTCTCAGAGGGGATTTTCCTCTCAAGCTTTGAAGCTTTTTGCCGAGATGATGAAGTCGGGTATGCTTGGATTTTGCTTCTCTCTCTCTCTCTCTCTCTCTCTCTCTCTTTCTCTCGGTGTTATTTTCTTGGTGGATGTGGGGGGTGAGAGGGTTGTTGATGCAAATTCGAGTA